CGAGTCCTGCTACGATTACACAGGGTATACAAATCATATATAGCTTAGATCCAATAGGCCTTCGAATATGTGATACTACTCTAGATCCACATCCCAACGAGGAAAAGGAAATAGGGCAAAACCACACATTCTTAGCCTATGGGATCCTTATTATATATAACCTTGGGAGTATACTCTCTGTAGTTGTAGGTATTTCAATAAGGATCTTTTTAGTTCTTCACACAGGGTTATCTATGTATCCTAAAATACCCCTATGGTATTTTAATTTCTTGTTTGTTTTCTTATCTTCTGAATATGATTTTGGGATTAATGTGAGTCTTTTAGTGTCCTAAAATACTCCTATAGTATTTTAACTTTATGTTTGGCTCTAGCACTCCTAGTTGGTAAGTTTCAGACTTGTTGGACACCACTATCACTCCCAAGCACATGTTCATCGCATCTCGAATAAATGTAGTTGATCAGGTTACATTTATTCTAGCTTACGATTACATAACTGCCCAGGTTTGACGGTAATGCTCAACATCCAAAGACTTTTATTCTTGTTGTTCTTGTGATACTTGTGTTCGACTGTTTAGATTCTGGGTGTTATTATACTTTGGTAAAATATGGTTATATTTTAAAGTATAATTCTTGGTCAGAGTGTTTTATCCCTATGTATTTATAGGCTGTATATCTTTTATGAATTGGTATACTTAGCTCACTATAAACAATGCTCTGATACCAATCTGTCACACCCCAAAACCGGAACGGCGGAAACGTTCCGGGGTGGATGACGTCATGTCAAGTATCACAACACATGTATTATAGTAATCAAAGTACAACAACCATTGCATTAATAGTAATAGTTTTACATGGTTTACATTACAATACATCAAAGTAATATAGGTAATGATATAAAAGCAGCTTGGTACTAAATTGTCTTCATCAAAAAGCTCCGGGAAGGTACCTGTCTAACGCTGACCTGAGAATACAAGTTATTTGAAAAGCAAGTATCAGCATTTTTACAATGTTGGTGAGTTCATAAGTATTTAGTGTCATTTTAATCAAATAACTTTAATAAAAGTGGTAGTTTTAGGGTATCCATTACATTAGTGTCTTTTCCATAAAATCCTATATTTTCTTTAATAAAAGTAGTCTTCTACCAAGACTGGACGGAGTTATGTGGTAAAAAATAGTTTTCCCTTAATCGCTATCATTATCAAAATACAGGATTTGATTATTAAAGAAAGCAAGAGAAATCAGGGAAATAACATATGCCTCAGCAGTGAGGACTGCTGACTAAGGCAAAAGGAATCATAGACTCCAGGAGAGTATCGAACGAACGACACGCCTGGCTCAGTCTAACAAAAGGAGATACAGACCCCAGACGGTACCAAATGAAAGATACCGCTAGTAAGGTCTAAAAACAGAGAATACAGACCGCAGACAGTATCAAATGAAAGATACAACTTGCAAGGTCTAAAAACAGTGTGACTCTGAGAATGGGTTTCCAACATACAATGTAAGTTGCTGGTGAAATACCGTTACCTTAAGGCCATAAATAATAAGGCAACCTGGGATACTCGTAACCATACTAACCGACACTAGAGTACCTGACGCCCTACAAGCGTATATAAAATATGACATTTGTTACCCCTTGGCTTGGTGGGTCCTGGACTGTAGCTAGCAGTCAAGGTGCGGGGGTGTCAATCCCGTATAGATCTTTACACACAATGTCCGCTCTCCCTACAGGAGACTCTGGTTACCAACTAGACAACGGATAAGGCCGCGTCCCGAAGATGCATCCCAAAGAGTGGGTAGTGTGTTTCATATATAAGTGCTGAACTAGAGGTAGAGACTCATAACTGAACTGACTAGAGTAAACCTATATGTCTACGCTTGTATACATAACATAAAACTAATGAATCAAACGACCTTCGGACGACCATCTGATCCCACCAGACCACATCTGAACGAAGAAAAGGAAATAGGGCGGACAAGCCTTCCGAAGTCCTTCAATCATTATTTATATGCACCTATACAAGTACAGACATACATCTAACTACGAATGAGTGTGTAACATAGAAACGTATCGTGATGTATAACTGAGTCGTGGTGTGTAAATGTACAGTGTTGGAATAACCAAATCGTGATGTATAACGTACAGTGTGGAATAACCGAATTGTGATGTATAACGTATAGTGTGGAATAACAGAATTGTGATGTATAACGTACAATGTGGAATAACTGAATCATAAAGTGTGAACGAATAGTGTGGAATAACCAAATCGTAAAGTGTAAACAAACAGTGTGGGATAATCGAATCGTGAAGTATAAGCGTTACCAACTATAAGTGTATCACAAAGTGGAAACGTTATCAAGTAGGAGTTTAAACTAAGAAAAAGCAAAGCAGCGACATCTAACAAGCAAGAGTATCCGACATGAAAGAGAACTTTGATGAAAACCTTGGAAAAACCTTTATACTTAATAAAGTGACAACTTGGTATTCTTTGGTAAAATGAGTTTGAAAACCTTTAGAAATTCTTTGGAAACCTTTCATAAACCAGTTTAAAATGAACTTTGATAAAACAGTATAAGTAAGAGTTATGAACAAGTGAAAACATTTTAGAAAACCATTTATAGTATCCTACTCGGTAAAACAATTTACAATGTGGTAAATTCTTGTGCATGCGGGTTATCAATCACATGTGATTGATATGATAACTGGCATGTTTAACTTGTATTCCCCCCTATAAAACATGTAAATACATTTAAAAGGTTCATTCAGGGGTATGAACTCACCTGGTGTAAGTGGATCCGACGAAGGTGCCGGTTGGGTGCTCGGTGTCAGTAGAGACTTGGACACACTTAGTGACCTATTTAACATATGATAACATATGTTCACATACAATTAGTAAATTTAATACTAATTAAACAAGTATACGCACTCTAAGGAGCTGAAAACACTTTGGTTAAGTGTTTGGGGTGTCCCGGGTAACATCTAAGGGCTTGAATGGCTTAGTAATGGAGTTTACTCTCCAAGAGTAAACTCTCCATATGGTGTTTACGGCCTTGGGACAACTCCCCATGAGTTTACGGCTGTAAACTCAAGGTGAGAGTGTTCTAGGATGTTTAAAGGCTTAATATCGATCGTGGAATTTTGCTAGGTCCAAATCTAAATTGTATGAGTGGTGTTAAGGATTCACATGGACCATTGAGGAGTTTACGGCCCTAAGTAAGGGAGCTTACGGCGATGAGCTCCTATAAACTCATTCTTTTGGTGTTTTGAAGTCTTAAATGGTAGAGGGTAAATTCCTAGGCATTTTTCCAAGTCAAATGGGGAGTTTAGGGGACCATTTAACCCCTTTATAGGAGTTTACGGCCTAGATACCCTTCCATGAGGGGTTTATGGCTGTGAACTCCTTATGGAGTTGTTTTAATTGAGTTTAAGGTCCCTAGCTTGTTGGTGATTGACTCTAGAATTTAATCCAAGGCTATTGGTGTGTTTAAGGGCATTTTTAACACACAAATTTTAGTTTACTCCCCATGAAGAGGAGTTTATGGCCCAAGCATGTTCTTGGGTAGTAAACTCATGTTTACTCCTCAAAATGCTAGTTCAAGGTGTTCTAAGTCTGATTCCGTATGCCTACAAGCCATATCTAAGCCTTAGGAACAATTTGGAGGGGTTTGGGGATTAAAAACCCCATTATATGGTGTTTACGGTCCAAGAGTGTTCTTGGGATGTAGACACATCAATTTTGTCCCTATTTTATGTTTTAAACTCGAATTTGCAGGCTATATAAGCTATTTAACAAGTTAGGGTAGGTGGCTTACTCGTTTGGGGCTCAAAACAGACGATTTTTGGCTCGAAACTAAGTTGCAGAGAGAGAGTATAGAGAGAGAGAGAGAAAAAGGGTGAAATGAAGTTTACTCTCCCTTATATAGGGGTTGGAGTTGGGGCTCAGTGGAAATCTACCCGATACTGCTGTTAAACGGGGCTTTTTGGTCGCACCCGATTAAACGGTCAAATTTTGACTTGGTTGTAACCAGACATTTTTAAGGGCATTTTGTGAGTGTTTCTAATTTGTTTCAACCCTTACCAAGTCATTATAAAAGTTCCCATATAATTAACCTCTTCCAAACGGTTAACGGACAGTTAAATAAAACGAAGCTTTTTAACGGAAAAAGGTCAAAACTGACGGAATAGATTTCGGGTTGTCACAACTATAGAGGTGTATTTAAGGTTTTTCATTACATAATAATTGGTACAAAATTGAACCTATAGTTGGTGTTAGTCATATTTGCAAAACAATCAAGTATCATTGCTCAATCATATCATTGGTAATAAACATTTATTACAACCTATATATCTAGTAAGTAACATTAGATGAAATGATTTATGTACAGTCAATATGTCTATGTTGTTTGTTTATGTTACCATTATTGCTTTTCAATTATTTTTAGGAAATTTTGTTCAACGTATTAATAGAAAATGTACATATTTGAGGCAATAAGAAGCAAGGGTGGTTAATTGTATAACATAATATTGGAACCTGCAAACTGTTTTTATTGCAAAATATTATGGAAAATTTCACAATTTTGGACCATATTGCCCCTGGAGTGTTTTTATAATAAAAAAATTTAATTTTTACAGTTTTGGTTAATACCGGATCCTGAAAACTGTTTTTACAACAAAAAATTATGACCATATTGCCCATGCAATGTTTTCATATTAAATTTTTTTTAATTTTTACAGTTTTGGTTAATACCGGAACCTACGCTGTTTTTATTACAAAATATTATGGAATTTCATAGTTTTGGACCATATTGCCCCTGCAGTGTGCTTGTTGCACACCAATTGTTTGATGAAAAGCCTAAATCAAAATTTTATATTAAATATCATTGTATGGTATCTTATTCCTTAATGACATACTAATATACCTTGTATGATATTTTTTCATGTTTAATTAAGCATTATGGAAGGAGAAAACACATAGATTGAAGATGTACCTATATTGGAAATGGAGGAGGAGGACCAATATGATGGATCTGATCTAGATGATTCAGAACATGAAGACAAATCTGATTACACTTCCAGTGATTCCGATAGCAACACAGAGACTACAAATAAAACAAGGAAGAGGGGATTGACTCGATTGCCCAAGTTACGGACCGAACATACAAATTCCGGTGGAAGAAAAAAACGTGTAAAGTTTGATGAATTTGGAAGGTTTGTAGGGAAGTATAGATCACAACTACCAAGTTATCTGGGATACCTAGTACGGGAAAGGGTAGGAGTTAGTGTTTTCAACTGGAAGAAGGTAACAAAAGAAGTCAATGAAAAAATATGGGAAGAGATAATGGTAAATAATATTTTTTTTATATGTAGCCCATATGTTATTGTTTTTCTCCAATGCAATTTCATTCATGATTCAACGCCTAACATATTAGTTATTCGTATTTTAGCGTTTTTATGAAACTGAAGATAGTCAAAGAAAATATATAATGAATCGGCTTGGTATACTTCTACAGAATTTTAGAAGAAAATTGTACGCAAAGTACATAAAGCCCAACTTAGGGAATACCACCAAGCTTAAAAGAATTCCTAAACGATATCGTACAATAATCCTTAGCCAAGATCATTGGGACAAGTTCGTTGAACACACACAGTTTGAACAATTCAAGGTTTAATTCCTTTTTTTTTTTCATCATCACTTTTATTTTATAATTTCTGAAAATAAAAAATACTTATAAGATCCGTGAATTTATTTTTTGGAAGGATATGTCGTCAAAGACGATAGAAGCGCGTTCTAAGTCGAATTATAATCACCAGATGGGAGGGTGAGGATATACGGCTTTAAGATAGAAATTGGTATGTTCTATATTTTATTCAATTATGTATGTCTATATGTGTTTGTTAGTCAAAACTGTGAAAGTGGAACTACCAATTAGAGCATTATACTTTCAAGTTTTGAAGTACATTCTTTACTAAAAATTGAATTTAATATGCCACCACTGTTGGAGTAATTAAAAACTGGGACAATTTTAATGCCAGGGTTATTTTGGGAAAAGTTTCATTATTTTAAGTCTTGGTATTTGTTTAAGTTTTGTTTTTCCATTGGATGTATTTAACTATGTTTCTTTCATGTTTAGTATAAATACGAGTATATATATATATATATATATATATATATATATATATATATCGTGACTTTTACGAGTTGACAACTATGATTACTAGGTAAATAATAAAGTACTTGCCAAAGATGAAATACCACCCCGGTCATTAATGTGGTGTAAAGGATGTGAAAACAAAGCAGGCGAAATAGAAGATGCTAATGTAAAACTCATGGCAGAAAAACTAGTAAGTTATTGAAACTTTCTCCTTGGTTATTTGATTACTATACTAAATATGACTTGTTAAATAAATATTGACGATGTTATTTTGATATCTTTTTGTGTACAGGTGGAACATGAAAAACAAATTAAAGATGGAGATGTGATGCTTGATCCTGGGATGGATGCCATGTCATTAGTCTTTGGCTAGGATAATTGTGGATTCTTAAAAGGGGTTGGCACAGGTGTGACTGCTAGTAGATATTTCAATATTCCTAGAACCAAAGGCTCTTCAAAAGAACAAATTGCGGACCTAAAGTTTGAACTACAGAATGAGAGACTTCAGCTTCAGAAAAAAGATGAAGAACTTAAAGCGTTGTCAACAAAGGTGAGAGAACAAGATAAAACACTAAAGCTAGTTTTAGCTCATCTTGAATCACAAGGAACAATGATACCAAATCTAACATCTCATCTGAATCAGTCTCCAACACAAGTAAGTGAATTGTTATTGTTTTTGCAAAATGCATTTATTGCATAAATTGACCCTTTTCCTTCAATTTTGTAGGTCCTTTCAGTGGACAAGAATGTTGAATCTCATGGTACTCTTGTTACTAATACTATCATAGAGAAAGCACCTATCACAGATAAAGCATTGTCAAATGAACCAGTTACACGAGTAAGTAATTATTTGATAAGTTCATTGATTTTAATATTTTTTTGTAGTACATTGTAAGTAATTATTTGAAAAATTCATTGATTTTAATATTTTTTGTAGTATTTTCTGATTTCCATACATTATTGAATTATTGTTTTCTAGGTAATGACAAAAACCGGCAAAATAACTGTTGAATCTAAGAGTGTGACTACAAATTCACATCCAAAAACAAAAGATACTCATTCACCAAAACTCCCACAGGTATGTATTTTAAAATGCAAATATAAATATGTGTTTATTCTTTTTTATCTAAATATGTGCAATCATTGTAGACAATGAAGACGATGAAGTGCATTCTACAATATCCAGATAACAGAAGCAACGTTGCTTATGGTATAATTTACATTTCTTCAGAAAGACAAGCCATTCATGGAGTTCCACTTCAAGACGACTGCTATAAAGTATCAATTGATGAAGTGATAAAGGGAGCTGCATTTTTACCATATCAAAACGGTGATATCAAAACAGTTGAGGGGCACATAAAACTTTTGTTGCATGGCCAAAATACCTTGTCAAATGTGACAAAAAAGTTTGTTTCTTCTATTAACTACTTTATGCATTAAACTTTTTCTTTTGGAAATTAGTTTTTTAAATTATTAGTTATTCAAGTTTGGTTCAATGTTGCTACAGATACCACGAATGAGATCAACTGAAGACGATGAATGTAAAAGCTCCAAGAAGCAAAAAAAAAAAAAAGTTTTATAACGAGAGAGAGCATTGGCAAGCATACAAGGAGAACTTTCAACAAGACTAAACAAATCTAGTTTTTGGTTTATGCCTTTTTTCCTTTCTTTAGCATATTTTAGTAAACTTGTTTTGATTACAAGAATTTTTACCTTTTAACTAGGGAAACTATATATGAGAATTTTCATTTGAATTATTATTAATATTGATCTTTTTTTGTCGTTTCACATTGTCCATTTATGGTTACATTTATTTAACATTGTTTTTTATTCCATGTGTCTCTAATAATTTTATCATCATGTTTTATTATGTTTTGTCACTAAAATGTATATAATTGTTACTTTACAAAAAAATGTGTCATGTGACTAAAGGGTTAACAATAGTCATGATAGAAACTCAATATGTGTCTACAAGTGTTTTACAGTCACTTTTAATTAAACATATGTGACTAAAAGTAAAAGAAATACTACATTGAAAATTTTTGTGTCTCAGAAAAGATACACATGTCACTCTATTTAATAATCATGTAACTATAAGTAATATCACAAGAGGGTAAATGTAGTCACGGTGAATGAAATTGAGTGTCGATACAACACTAATGGTTACGATTGTATTGATTCGCGATATCTAAATTATGATCAATAGCCACATTGAAAACTATAGGTGTGTCTAAAGGATAAAAAATGTTATGGTTATCAAAAATTTGTGTGGCTAAATACTAAGAAATAAGGACAATAAACATTAGTTGTGTATCTACAATGATTATATAGTCATGCTTCAATTTAATATACATGACTAAAAACTAAATAGTATTGTCAATGTAGATAAATGTGTGTCAAAATCTTAACATATGTCACTTATTTCTACATTCATGTGGTTGTATGTTCTATAATAGTCGTAGTTATAAAAACATTATGTAATTATACGACATTTGCAACTATGGTTTAAGTATGTATATGTGACTATCATAAAAACAATAGTCACACTCTGCAATTTTTTAATGTCTAAATGATAAAACCGGTCATACTTAAAACAAATTGTTATGTTCATAAGATGAATATTAGCCACTATTATATATACTTTTGTGTCTATAAATCAATTATAGTCATGTTTAATTGATTTTCTATGTAGAAAAGATTTAAAATAGCCACACTTACAACTTTTTATATGTTTGAATCATAGCAATGGTCATGATAAATTATACATATGTGGCTGAAAGTTATTGGATGAACATAGTTAAAAAAAATAGTATGTGTCCTTAAAATACTTTTGGTCATTGAAATTATAAATTTATGTGACCATTTTGGGAATATGGTCATGATTTATTTTATTATGAGCGTGTCTAAAAGATTGTTAATAGTCATATTTTTTGTGTGTGTGACAAATTAATAGCAAAAAGTCATAGTGCAAATAAATTCATGTGGCCATTTGTTAAATATGGTCATGTTTCGCTTAATTTTTTGTCTCTAAACGATAGTCAATAGTCATAATGAACATTTTTTTGTGTGACGAATTATTATCAATACGCCACAGTGAAAAAAACTTCATGTGACCATTCCATGAAAGATTGTCACTAAAATAACTAGAAGGTGTGTCTATAAAGGGTTTACAGTCACAATACTAGATAAAATGATAGATTACAACAACAAAAAACTTCACCCTATAGCCACAATTTTATGCTATGGTCACACTTTTTCATATGATATAGCCACTAAACTTAAAAGTGGTCGTATGGTGCCTAAAATGGCACGGCCTTTGGTGACACTTTCAATGAAAACAAAAAGTGTGACTATAGGCATATGGTCACAATTTTTTGGTGTGACCATAACTCATTTTTGTACTAGTGATAGTGTGTTCTCAATTTCGAGTATGATTATGGCATCCCTCTTCATAGTTCAAATTAGGAGAACGTGACACATAAAATATTATGACAGAAGATTGATAAAGTATCATATCTTTATGTAAGACATTATGCATCGTGTCCCATACGCTTCCGGTATAGGATCGATTGCAAATACTATAATATTTGACAATTCTAAAATTTTCCAAATGGCTAGCGCATTAAGAGGGAAAAAGGACTAGAATCGGTTTTGACTAAAATAGTTAAACAACTATCAAAGGACGATCCAAAGTTCGTTGAAGATTGGTTGCTTGTGAGTAGTTGGAAGTATGGTATTGGATGGACCATATCGACATTCTTACGAATAAATAAGATTCTATTAAGAATGAGTTGTCATATGGAAAATATGGAAATGTTTCCATATTGGGAGTTGGATATTAAGAATCTATGTCTAGATTAGAAACTTTTATGCAAGAAGGATGTTCAAAGGAATGTACTTTGTAACAACCCGAAATTTGTTCGTCGCCAAAACCCGTTCTACCCGGAAAGTCGCCGTTATCGGATTCGTTCCGATTTCTCTTTGGAATTTATTTGTATAATTTATATGTTTATTTTATCCTAATGAGTGTCTAAAGCACTCAGAAACTTATGTTATTCGCCCAAAATCATTATTTAATAAGTTCTAAAAATGTTCCCGTCGGGTGACGGAAACTCAATCGGGTGCGACCAAAAGCCGCGTTTAGCGTCGGTATCGGGTAGAATTCCACCGCGTGCAAATTTTGGGAACTATATAAACGAGTTTCAGCTTTCATTTGAAGCTTTTTCCTTCTCTCACTACTCTCTCTCTAACCTCTCTCCAAAATCCAAAGATTTAGTGTCCAAAACTCAATTTTAAGGCTTCAAATCCTTAAGGTACCTTCCTAGCCTTAATCTATAGCATGTTTAGCTTCCAAACTAGACACTTAATCATGAAATTGGACAATATATATGAGTTTACGGCCTAAGAAGGTGTTTAGGCCGTAAACACCAAAAATGATGGGTTTTGAGCCCTTAAACCCCTCCTTGACTAGTTTGGACTTTAGATATGGCTATGGGACTTCAAGATATGGACTCTAAACATGTAAAACATAATTTTTGTAATGTTTGAAGGAGTTTACGGCCAAGGAACATTCTTGAGCCGTAAACTCATATAATTAGGGTTTTCATGCCCTTAAACACTTCCAAATCACTTCTATGGCTTAGATATGAATTATAGGACTTTGATTCTTGCATTTGGACACTTGAAACATGAATTTTGGGGGATTTAGATGAGTTTACAGCCAAGGAGAGTTCTTGGGCCGTAAACTCCCCAAAACTTGGCATAAATCCAATTCTAAGGTGTTAGAAAGCCATCCAACACCACCAAAAGCCTTGGAATAAATCAAGGGACCAACCAAAAATACTTTAAGGACCTTAAACACATCATTCATGGGATTTCTAAGAGTTTATGGCCAAGGCTTGTTCTTGGGCGGTAAACTCCAAAATCTTTGGTGTTAGAATGCAAATTAAACACCCCTAAGGCCCTTAGATGAATTTTAGAAGTCCTTTCATGCAAGTTCTAGACCTTGAAACACCTTGGAGCACCATGTATTAGAGTTTACGCCCATGAAGGGGGTTTCATGGGCCGTAAACTCCACAAACACCCCAAAAGTCCCTTGCAAACTCATGTTAGGCCTTGGATTAATTCTACCAATCACATGTGATTTGTTCTAGCACCATTTAACCTCATTTTCTTGGAAAAATAGGGGTTTACAGCCATGGAGCTAATCTAGGCCGTAAACTCCCATAAAAGGGATCTATTTGATGTTTAGTAATCATTCCAAGTCCTTAAACCAAGTCTAGAAATTATCCCCCTAAGTGTTGGAAGTCAAATTTGCACCATAAACCACCCATCATGAGTTTACGGCTGTAAACTCATGGGGATGGGTGTTTAGGCCGTAAACTCCCCTAAGGGGAGTGTTCCTTTGATGTCCCAACTCCTCTCCCGAGTCCCTTGTGTCACTCGTGTCCCTAAACGCCACCCGGGTCACTCCAAACACTCGTACCAGAGTGTTTTCGCGACTTGAAGCAAGTGTCCCTATCATATGAATAAAATAAGTCCTAATTAGATACAAATGTGTATCTTTACATGATAATTAGGAACCTCGTGTGTTTACAAGTTCCGAATCAACTCTTAGCATCCAAACCGTCTCGTATCTCGTCCGGTGAGTTCATACCCCTACGGCTTTTTCACTGTTTTCAATGTTTTCAGGGGGGGAATACAAGCAAACTAAAACTGTTTTCCAATGACAACATTGATGTGTTTCAAACAATCTTTGACAAATCTATAAACTCTTTTACTCCTTATGTAATATGCTGAGTATAAGGAATGACTACTCGATTTCAACTAAATGGATTTTAGTTAAGGAAACAATCAAACTAATCAAATTATTATGGGAATAATTTGGGGGTCTTTACTGTTCTTTCTATCGTATACTGATATCTATACCAAGTTATTAGATAAACTATGTCTGTTTCAGTTTATCTCCGTATCATTTGAATGTATTATCCGATAATTTCATGTATGTATCTATACTTTACGGTACTATGTTTCATAATCTTCTGTATGTCGATATCTTACAAGAACCCTGTGAATAGTTTAGTACTAGTTTGTGAGATAGTCACTACCCTTTATGGATGATCAGTAAATCCTCCCCGGAAGTGTAACTAGAGTCTCCTGGAGGGAGAGCGCGGAATTTGTGAATAGATCTATTCGGGACTGACAATCCAAACACCTTAACTGCTAGCTACAGTTAGGCGGACACGCCTAGGGTGACAAATTTCTGGATATCGTTCGACGTTTGACAAACGTCAAGGAGGTCACGTTGTCGTATTAGTATGGTTACCCGACTCACAATATGTATTAATATCAGCTTATTCACAGTTTGGGTTCAGAAACTACGTCTCGTTTGGGATAGTGATCCCATGGTTTATTTCTATATCTCTTTCGGGATAGTGATCCCATGGTATTAATCAAACTATTTTGTATCTAGTTCGGGATAGTGATCCCATGGTTTGTATTTACAACTTGTACGGGATGTCTTTCCCCATGGTCTTAAACTATATCTTATACGGATAATGATCCCATGGTTTCGTATCTATAACTTATACGGGATAGTGATCCCATGGCTTTCTAAATCCATATCTTATACAGGATAATGATCCT